ATTTTTTCTGAGTGTTCGATCTTTGTATTAATAATTATAACAAACTAATGAATTTATTGTTTCTCAAAATATTCTCCGTTAGCGTAATGCACTTTTTCATACGACTGAACCAATTTTGAAAACATTTGTGCCACTCCTGCGTAACAATCTGTGGAACATATTTTTCATACTCTTCGACAGCCTCTTCAGACGATGAAAATCGTTGACCGCGTAACTTGTTCTTAATTTTTTGAAATAAATAAAAGTCACAAAGTGCCAGGCCGGGACTGTACAAGGGATGGCTCATAAGGTCAACGTTGTTCACCTTCAAAAATTCATTTGTTTGTCTGGCCGTGTGAGAACTGGCATTATCGTGGTGCAAGATGATACGGCATTGACGGTCATTTTTACGGAGTTTGTCATTGACTTACAAATAAATGGACGACGGGTCTAATACAAAAACCAAAAAAAATGTCCAAGTCAACCTATTTAAACGTAGTGACATGTCAAGGAATATGAAAAAGCTAAAACGTTGAATTTAAATTGTAATGTCATCGCAGTACTGTCTAATTTTGCTTGCTTCGCTGTCAGTCAAACAAACGAAGACTAGAGCGTGAAAGACGCTCTGTATACGATTTTAACGCCCTATAAGTTCGGACACTTTTTAGCGCGGACCCGACGTCCATATAATTGTAAGTCAATAGAGTTTGTCAATAACTTCCGGCAAACAAATGGTCGTGTACCAATCATTATTCACGGTACGATTCTCCAAAGCAACAGTAGCCACGTGTCCAATTTTCTTAAAGAAAGAAGCAATCATCCGCTTAGAGGCACTTTGCACGCGCGCCACTTTGGTTGGTTTCGGCTCATCTCGAAAGATCCATACGCTCGATTGCTGCTTTGTTTTGGGATCGTAACTATAGATCCATGTTTCGTCACCTGTTACTATGTCCCACACCAAATTTGACGCCCCTTCGCTGAATCTGATAAGTATGGCATTGCACCAAGCGATGCGATTCGTTTTTTGAGCCTCAGTCAAATTGTGTGGGATCCACCGAGAGCACAGCTTTTTCACACCCAAATGTTTGTGTAGTATTGATTGTATTTGACTCATGCCTATGCCTAAAGATGCCTGAATCTCATGGTATGTCACATGCCTGTCTGTTTTGATCATACGGCGCACAGCATTGATGTTTTTGTTGTTCACAACAATAGACGGGCCACCATCACGAAATTTGTCACTGAGATTCACACGACCGCGTTTGAATTCTGCAAACCAGCTATAAATAGTCGTCTTGCATGGTGCTTTATCGCCAAAAGCAGTTTGAAAAGCTCCGCTGAGCTGTTAATTTACACTTAAAGTCGTAGAAAATCATACTACGAAAATTTTCACGAGTTAAATTCATGGTGATGTAGACAACTAATTTCTAAAATGACCCCACAATGTAAACACAAGTGACAGTCAGATGAAACAAACTGTATTCTACAGCCAAAGAGTTCCATTTTCAAACATCAGTCATCAGTCAAATTAGTCAATAGGTATAGACAACAATATGAATAACTTTTACATTATATGGAAGGTAATTAAGGTAAGGTAGTAAGGCAATTAGCCACCAGTTAACGCACATAAACATCACGACCGTAAACGAAAGCACTGACAATTAACTTAATTATTAATACATCCTTATAAGGTTTGCCCAAACCTGTGTTGGTGAATCAGTGTAAAACATAAGTGCAGACATCATCTCTGGCAGCGAAGTAGGCGATTCGACCAGTCTCTTGGCGAATGCTTTGAGCACTCCTTTGGCCTTCTCCCGCTCGCATTCCCCGCCTTCTGGGGCAGCGCTTTTGTCTGCATATGCTGCGAGACGTTGCAAGTTATGACACGAGACGCTGTTGCCAGACGGCTCTGCTCCATCTTGATCTATAAAATAGTAAGTAACCTACCATAAGTATCTAAAGTACAAAAGGCATTTGGAAGACATACTTTGACTTTCACTTAAATTAATACTACCTGTAAAGATTTATTTCAATGGTTTGTAAAATTGGACTTGAGCTGTTCAAATAAATCTCACCTTCTTTCAACCGTAACAACACAGTAGAATCCTCAGTGGAACAATTAAAGTACCCTCCATTAGTCTTGTCCCAGAATAAATCATCCTGTTTCTTTTGTAACTCGCGAGCCCAGTTAAGCCAACTAGCATCCAATGATGCTTCATACAAATCTAGAAGACCTTTAATCAGGAAGGCATAGTCATCCAAAAATCCTTTAATTGGTTGTTCACTAAAACAACAAAAGTATATGGTATAAATTTCTATCGATAATATAATCTATAATCGATAATGATATGTAAGGAAATACATACGTGTTTAAAATTGTGCCATCCCCACCAGTGTAGCAAGAATGTATCAGATTTTTTGTGTTTTCGTCATACAAGTATTTCTTTATAAAGTGCGCGGTTTTAATGGCGTCATCTATGTAATCCTTTTCTCCCAAACCTTGTCCAGCTCGCGCCAGACCTGCCATCATTAATCCATTCCATGAACAGAGTATTTTTGTGTCCAAATGTGGTCGAGGTCTTTTCTGCCTTGCCTCATACAAAATATCAATACATTCCTGAATAACTTTATTGAATTCATCCAATGACAAACCGAACTCTGTAGCAGACTGTTGTTTATCACCATAAATTATTAAAACATTCTTGCCAGTCAACTCTTTATGGGGGTCACTTTCAGAACCAATATTTCCATCTTCTTCTACACTAAAATATTCACAAAATACATCAAGATACGAGACATTTTTGATCATTTTATTATTTAAAAGATCTTTTAATTCTTTATATTCCCAGACACAGAACGCCCCTTCCTTCTTATGAGGGGCTCCATAGTACGGGTATGAGTCAGCATCTTCGGCACTGTAAAACCCTCCAGTTTCGTGCCTCAGATCCCTATTTACGTATTTAATAATATCGCGCACTACTTCAGCATAAAATTCCTCTTTAGTTGCAACATATGCATCAGTGTAAGCAACTGTTAACTGGGCTTGATCATAAAGCATTTTTTCAAAGTGTGGCACATGCCAATCATTGTCTACTGAATATCGTGCAAAACCACTGGACACATGGTCATGTATTCCTCCTTTAGCTATTTTAGTCAAGGTGTGCAAACACATTTCAAGACATTTCTTCCCATCAGGGTGAGACTTGTCACGGGCATAATAATGAAATAAGAAATTGAATATAGATGCTTGTGGGAACTTTGGAGCTGTGCCAAATCCACCAAAGTCTGGCTCATACATCTGTTGATATCTACGAACACACTTCTCCCAAGTTGCTTCCCCAGGAAGAGAAGTAGGCGTGTCTGTATCTACAATAGCAATTCTTTGTAAGGCATCTAAAATGTTGGCACTGGCATCCACAAACTGTTCTTGGTTTTCTTTCCACTTCTTCGCAAGTGAAAGAAGAACAGTTTTAAAACCAGGCCTTCCCCAACGATCTTCAGGTGGGAAGTAGGTGCCACCAGTGATGGGACGCAATTCAGGTGTTAAAAAAACAGACATTGGCCAGCCACCTCCTCCAGTAGTAGCCATGACAAAGAGCATGTAAATCCTGTCAATGTCGGGTCTCTCCTCACGGTCCACTTTAATATTTATAAAGTGTTCATTCATGATTTTAGCAACTTCTTCACTTTCAAAAGATTCCTTCTCCATAACATGACACCAGTGACAAGTGGAGTAACCAACTGAGAGAAAGATTAGTTTATTTTCAGCCTTAGCCTTATCTATAGCTTCTTGGCACCAAGGGTACCACTGAACGGGGTTATGAGCATGTTGGAGTAAGTACGGTGATTTCTCTGTAATCAACCGGTTTGTGTGTTTTGGTTCCACTGGGGTTGTATCATTGTTAGGGGCAGCCATTTTAATTATGTTTTCACTGATACTTCTTGTTAGTGGAGGTTTCGGTAAATTGCTTGGTGCAAACGAAGATAGTCTGCAATAATTTTCATTCCTACATTTATTTGTTGAAATATTACAGCATTTTTTTAAAATACAAATCACAAAGTATCTAAAATATTAATAACTCAAAAATACCTTTAATATTTAGGTAATATTTTCAAATCAATATAAAGACAATGTCAGTTAGTATTTATTCTTTTCTTTATTTTAGTTCAAAGTACTGCAAAAAAACATTAATTCATGAGTAACATAGTAATGAAGCTGTTAGAAGGTCAAGGATGTATCTGTTAAAGAGTGTCTTGTTCAAAACTACAAACAATTCCACTTCCAGCATGTACACTAGGTTTAAAATACTATAGTGTAAAGTATAATTTTGTATTGTATTGTAAAGGGGATGAGGGTTATTAAGAATATACTTACACTGTAGGCACCTACAAAAATAATATACAGCTATGACAAATTAAAAAATGTAAGATTCTTTAAATGGAAATCAGTGTGAGTCAGTAATATATATTCAACATATAAATCTTTGATTTCCATTGAAAGTACGAAGTCACGCCAACAATATCTCAAATGCATTGAATATAAATTCAATACACCAACAGTTACTAAGGACTCCAAGGCCACGAGTTTTATTGATCTAACATTTGCATTAATGGAAAATTCGGTCAGTTAGGTTTTCGAACCTTCTTACATAATTTTACGTATGTATTTTGACTCCTTTCTCTCTTAAAATCACTTGTAAACAAAAACAAGGTCATGTAACAGTACTGAGATATAAGTAGTATCTGCCGATATTTCGCAACAACAACATGAAACGATTATCTGCTCTCGTTTAAGTAACTCATATCTATTTATTTGTTAGTTAATGAAGCAACCATTACCTTTTGGATTGGCCTAAATCTTTATGACAGCACACCGGGTTCGGAAGAACTTGCTCCTTATTGCAATTTTGGCTTATATTTATATTTTTCAACCTGCTATCTCCAGTTGAAAGACGCCGCAACAGCAGCACAGCACGGCCAGTAGGCATAATAATAATGTAAGAACGTAATATTCACTGGTTTCACGGCATTAAATTTAGCGTAGTAAGTCTGCACAAATTACGACGACACCAAAAAAGAAACAAAATATTTTGGTCAGTTTGACTTTTGGATGATTTTTTTAATATTAGTTTTACGGCATCGGAATAAATCCATAGTAGAGCGTATGATTTTTTTTTTCTTCTTTCCATAAAGGAAAAGGCAAAGGTTTTACACCATACAGCCAAGTCTTGGTACATTATTCTTTTTTGGTACATGAAGTTGAATTATGTTTCTGTAAATATGGCCGCCACAAAGAGGATAGGCAATTTGAGGCGGCGTGTTTGGATTGACTCGGGATTCCTTAGAACGGGCCGATACGGGTATTTTA